TGACGACCTGGCAAACGGTTATACCGAGGAAGTTACGGGAAGTTGTGCTGTGTCAATCCCATGATACTGTAACAGGAGGATATCTCGGAGTTAAGAAAACATTGAGTCACCTACGACACAGATTTTACTGGATAGGTATGAGACAAGATGTGGAAGAATGGTGCAGAACATGCAGTACATGTTGTGCTAAAAGGGGACCAAGCATAAGGGACGTGCTCCAATGAAGTTATATCAAGTTCGTGCACCAATGGAAAGAGTAGCCGTCGACATTGCTGGTCCTCTGCCCCAAACTCGTGCTGGAAACAAGTACATTTGTGTGGTGATGGATTATTTCACCAAGTGGCCTGAGGCATATGCAATACCAAATCAGGAAGCTACAACTGTAGCTTCGGCTATTTGTGACTTCTTCTTCAGATTTGGTATGCCATATGAACTGCATTCAGATCAAGGCCATAACTTTGAATCAGCTGTGTTCCAAGAATGCTGCAAGTTGTTTGGCATCCGAAAGACCAGGACAACGCCATTGCACCCACAGTCTGATGGGATGGTAGAAAAGTACAACTGGACACTAGGACAGGAATTGGCAACCATCTTGGCGGCTATTACAAAACAGGGAGTAAGACATCCCAGTTTTTCAGGTGACACGTCTTCAGCAGCGTCATTTGTTTTGTTGTTCACTTCGTCCCAACTGAAATGTCCTGGACCATGATAACGCCAAAGCCTGTTGGCATGCACCACTTTTGGCTTACCTCACCGACCACATTTTATCCGGAAAGTCACGTCTGAGAGACGATCCACTATGTCATATGGGCCTTCCCATGGAGAAAACAACTTAGGAGACTTCCCTTTGGCCTTCCTGGGATTATACAACCACACCTTGTCGCCTGGTACAAAGTTAACTTCAGTAGATCTCTTATCATAAAATAACTTCATCGAATCAGCAGAGGTTTTCAAGTTTGAGCACACTTGATGATGAATATCATCCACCCTTTCTGTTAACACTTTCACAAACTCTGACACATTTTCAGGAAACTCTTCATAAGGTGGGCGTCCTGTTAACAGATCCACTAGCAACCGAAGTTCCCGATCAAACATCAACTTTGCTGGAGTGTATCCAGTGGCTTCATGCTCTGCTGTCCTATAGGCCATCAATAGTGGTGCCACTGTCGAAGAAGAAACTCTACTCAGTTTTGAGAAGGGAAACGGTGAAGCTCTTGATGAAGTTACTACCACTGGTGTGACTGTTACCGACGATAGGACATTTCCTGATGAACCCCCACATGAAGCAGAAGCCAACGAGACGGAGACCAGTACGGAAGAAGATACGTCCCGTAAAATTAAGAGACTTTGTTGAATTGTAATTTTGTGTTTGTAATTCTGTACATTTAATTAAGTTATTGTTAATTGTTATTGGTTTAATGTAAGTGGCTATAGTTCGGGACAAACAATACTAAGGAAGGGGCAGTGTTACGACAGCGGAAGTCACGCGACGGTGGGAGCATGGGTACTGGAGTTTCTAGAAGTTATTGCTGCAATATATTTTAGTTATTTACTTAAGAATGATGAAATTATTTTATTTTGCTTTAGACACTGAAAATGGAATCTGTAAAATTTCGAAACGTTTATCTTAAATATCGTTATCCTTTTTATCGTGAAACTTCGTTTTCCTCCAAACACATGCTGTTACCTAGAATTACATTTGTTGGAGTCAAAATCGGGATTTGTAGTTTGAGTAAATAATGTGTACAGTATCTCCAGCCTTACATTTTTTTACAATCCCTATTTGCAGGTTTTTAAATTCCCAATTTTTTATTTATCTTGTTTTCTGACTTTTTTATGCCCAACTATGGGCAGGGGATTACTTGATATGGTAACTATGTACATTGTAATGATAATATACATATCCAGTAGCTAGCTAATACGGTTCATGATGATTTACTGTAGCTATTGACTATTTGATCGCATTAGTTGGAGATGTAAAATGTTAAGCTGCAGCTGGAGACTTGTTTAAGAATATATTGAGCATTTATAGTTTCTGTGTAACTGAATCCTCTACATATAATGCATAGCAACAGGCAAATATATGCCTAGAATAAGACACAACCCTCATTTAACGTGCATAAAATTTTACCAGTAGAAAAGCAGCCTTTTCAGATAAAATATATACGTCTAAAACATCGCTTTAAATAAACCTTCTTGTCTTTTAAGGTAATTATTTTACGAATGTGTGTAATATAATTTAATATTATGTGTGTGGTTTTTCTTTAATCCTTCACTTCATACATAATATAGGGGTTGGCTCCCTAAAGACACCAATTGTATATTGTACAAAGCACTGAGTATCTACATGTTATAGTGATCTAATGTTCCTCTATTATTGATTGGTAATCCCTGTTTCACCTTGTACTTAAGCTTTTTAAAGGAACACCAGATATTTGTAAGAAAGTTTATTTCAAAGGGGTAATAATAACATCGTTTACGCTAGAATTATGATGTTTTTAGTTTATGTAAAATATAGAAGAAACAAATCAACTTTTCAATACCCCCACGACCTTCACAGTACCTTATTTAGTATTCTACAAAAGAATTGCAATATACCAAACCATTTTTGTTATAGGCTGACAAGAGAATAATAATTACAAAGGGGCCACTTTGAGCGGATTTTATTTTTCTCGTAAGTCTAACGTGTGTGCTTTTTGTGCATTTTTATATGTTTACAGCCTTAGTAGTCAATAGTAAAGGTTTTAAAGTGTTGTTGGAACCGAATCTTCACTGTTTAAGGTGGTTTTTGCCCGAACGTTCTATTAGGGGTTTGTACAATTCCTTGTGATCCCTATGATAGGACTACTTTTTATAAACTTAATTAATCTGAACGTCACGTGCCTTCTACCTAACATCTATATTAAAATACCGAAAATATGGCTTATAACAGAAGCACTCACCAAACAGAAAACGACGCAATTTGAGGATGATAAGGGGGGAAGCAGTCTTTCCAGAGGAGGGGGGGTAACAAAGTATAATGTGTTTAAACAGCTATGTAGTTTCATAGCAAAACATGTAAAACGTGCAGATAATTGATGGCATAGGGATTATCCCAACTCATACATTAAGTACATGCCACCATAATATCTTGGTGTGGCATGCTTAACTTAAATGTTCAAAGGATAAAATATTTGATTTCTAGCTCCTATGGGCAAAGACCCACAGATAGTCTTTAAACGACAACATCTCCAAACAATCGGAAAATAAAGTGAACAACAAAAGGACTGATGTAAAATTATAATATATAAAAATACGAGGTCACTGTAGGTCTAACGTTAGGGATACTTCAGGAGTAGGTCTAACGTTAGGGATACTTCAGAAGGTGTTTTGTTTTCAATTTACAATTTAATGTCATTGTCTGACATAGTAATCAAGGGGCGTGTCCTTCTAGGTGTCGTGGGGAGGAGATCCCCCATTAGAGTTATGCCCCCCAAAAACTACCATCCGAAATATAACCTTTTAAGATTTTTATATTCTCTACATTGCGAATCCCACTTGTATGAAAATGTTACCAAACTAATTATTTGCCCCAAATAAAAAATCCTTGAAATGCCACTGATAGATATATATTCATCACCACACACCTTAAAATAACATTTTAGCATGAATTCATACTGTGAAACAAAGTATCATGTTTATTTTAGCCGTATTCGCAATGAAGTTTTTAATAAAAATAAGGATTTACTTGTTTTAACTAACTCCAATTTTAGTAACGTTGTAAGTACAAGTTTGTTTATTATCAAGTCTACTGATGTTTTGTATTTGAAAAAAGACTACAGTACTGATTGGTTTGACTTCAGTACTGCGCTGAAAGTAAAACAGTACACCCTAATACTCAAATGTGAAACTTCCTTGTTTTTTTAAAAAGTTAATTTTATCATCAAGAAGTAAGCAAACATGACTTCAAATAATTTATCTTTGACTCTGTTAATAGTAAGATTTTTTAAACTAATATTACATACATAGTCGAAACTAACGTGATTACTACTGCTGCCAAGTTTTTATTGAATCTTTTTAAATACCGTAACTATATTTTTTTCCATAAACACAGTGATAAAAATCTTTAAAGTGTTATACGTTCATCTGATAAAACGAGGTTCTCAATGCCGAAACTGAAGAATGCGAATGCTATATTTTTCGAACCTAAAAATTCAATATTTGCTCAGAGGAGACCGTAGAACTTCCTAAATACAGAACTATTTATAAAACGAATTTCGTTTACGTAATAAAAACATAGTTTCTCCTATATAAAAACCATTGCACCCAACGACGAAGGTGTAAAATGTTTTTATAAAGTTATTAAGACCTTTAAAAAATGTTTCAAATTGAGTATAACAGCTAATTTTAAATGCAGCTTGTGAAGTCAAAAGAGCTTAACATGTCGTTGATTACAACACGGCCATAGTTCGGCGTTTTAGCTAGACTGCTAAGAGTTCTTGTGCTTATCACACACGCATACACTGTTAAAACATTATAAACTGGTAATATAAGTTTTAATTCTGATAAATTATGCAGGAAGTTGTTGTAAAATAAGGTATCATCGCTTACATTTAGTTCTGGCAAATTTCCGTTACAAAATGACTTACCACAAACTTCGCATAGCTGCCTGGTTCATAAGTGACCTTCGTGTACCAGTTTTAGAACTGGGCCTGGAATACTGCCCATTTTAGATTACAGTAAAAAAATGTAGGTAATGAATGTTTATAAATGAACTGTTACTATGTGATTCGACAAGTCTCTGGATTTTGACAAGATGTTTTCACAAGAAGTTTGCTTTTCTTATTAAGTCTCATGTCTTCCGGTATGATTTAAATCTCGTGAAAAGGTGTATATAGTTGCAAGATGTTTTTTACACAAGCAACAAGTTTGTTTTTAACCTTCGTACCATGAGTTAAACCTTTTTAAAGAGATGATATTTCTTTTAAATAAACGATAAAAAAGAGAAAATGGTCATTTAAATGAGAAGAAATATGATACCGTTTATTTTACTTGCACGACACACAAAATACAAATAAATATATCTCACAAAACTGACGAAAAAAGGCTTACCAAGTAAATGAGGAATGCACCTCCTGGTTTTCACTACATTGTACACAAGTGCACATGCATGTTTATTAAGAGCTGTGTCACACTCATCTATTGTACAAATACGTTAACAATGAGATGTGATATAAGCGTATGTGTGTTTCCTTTCTAACAATGTTGGTTGCTTGGTAACATATCTTTTCTAACAATATATTAAATTCACAAATCACTTTAAATCAAACTTCTCTGACTTATCGTGATAAAAGTGAACATTTAAGCAAGAGGAATGCAAAGACATATATTACTAATATATTAATGCAACGAGTAGCTTTTCTGAATATACAATGTATCAATTCATAAGAAATAATATCCAATCATTGGAAGTTAAATCATATTGAAAGGGTAAGCACTGGCAATTCACAATGAGTTTGGTAAGAAAAATATTTGCCTGAAAAGAAAAGCCACTTATTAATTTTAAAGATATATGTTTCACGAAATAGAGAATTCTGTGTTTCGACTTTTGTTTAAGCTTTTTCAATCGGAATCAAACGTTCCTTTGATCCTTCCACAACTGGTAGAGGAGCTTCGATCGTCAGAACGCCATCTTTCGACAAGGAGGACTTGATCATTTCCGGATTGGTTCCCTTCGGTAACAGAAATTCTCTGTTGTACTCACGGAAAACCTGTCTACATTCTGACTTTTCTTCGTGTTTAGCATGCACCTATAAAACAATGTAAAAAAAATTAATACTGTTTTAATAAAACGAAATAATCACGACGAAAACAAATGTTACTTTTATAGTTAAAATCATTTCACACATCTGTACTTATGTCCAGAAATCCAAGCACGGCAGCTGGCCGTGATTTCTAGTTTTGTATCTACACCTAGGATCCCATACATTATAAATTGTGGGTCAGGTTTCTACGGCTGGAATCCAAGCATTGTAACTTTCCTGCAGCGAGTAATCCTGTAAGGTAAACAATCGTTTAAGGTTTCTACAACTGGAACTCAAGTAACTTAAACAGCCGGGAATCAAATGTCATAAACAGCCAGGGACCTAAGCATCGTAAGATTTAAAATTTACACAGCACGAAACCAAACGTAAACTGTCAGTTATGATTTGTACAGACGAGAGCCCAAGCAGTCTGGCAAGATTTATACAGCCAGGAACCCAGCGTCATGAAAAATCGGTTCAAGTTCCAACAACCGGGACCCAAACATAGTTATGATTTCTAGAGCTCAGAAGCCAAGCATCCTGAACGGTTTTAAGATTTCCACAGTCAGGAACCGAACCACCGCGAACAGCTGGTTATGATTTCTTTTACATTCCACAGCAAAGAAACACTACATGACAAAGAAACAAAAATTAGAAAAGCCCAAATTCGCAAGAAGCCGTATTTTAGCATAAAGATCCCGTATATTTCCATCAATTCAAATGAGACTTGAAACAAAGATACAGAGCGACAACCCGAACAGAATAAAGCAGACATGTTTATAATTTTTGCCTTCCTTTTGATTTACCAGGACAAAGATAAAAAAACCCACAAATTTAGTATTTCTTTCCTGCTCTTTATTTCTATTTCTACCAATCTAGTTGAGATTTTGGACCACGAGAGACAAATTTGGTATTTGTGCCTTTCTTGAAATTTTACAGTAGTCAAAAATAAAAATAAAGTTGTAATGTATGTAATAGGGAGCTGTGAACCTAAACACATTGTCTTCACGTGTGATAGTCATAAGTGGTTTAATTCACCAAATACATATCTCGTATACCATGTAAAATAATTGGTCTTATATTGTTTAAAACTACCTATAGTTTTGACACAGAAATGATTGCCTTATGCGTCATAAGGTCAAACTTTAGTATGCTCCAATACATCTTTCTCATAAAGAAGTTTCAAGTTGATGCTGTGTTAAGTGTCAGATGTTGTAGTTTATGCCCCCCTTGCACTGCTCTGAACACTATTCTTACCCAAAATGTACTGAATTATGAGTATCTTTCCAAATAAAATAGATGGGGACATTACACTCGCACCTATGACCTCCTAATGTCGTAGAATAACATTATAAGTTTATTTATTGATGATATTAAGTACAGCAAAGTTTAGCCCTATCTAAACTAAACCAATGAATAAAAAAACGTACACAAGTTACAGTGTTAATTTATCTATTTATCGAATATAGACCGTATTTAATAAAGGCTTAACTAATGTTAGGCCTAAGACAAGCGGACTTATATATTTCGGTGTCTGCAATTAGAATTCTTTTGTATTGCCCTAGAAATTCTATATTTAAAGAAGTACTGTTGTAATAAAGACACCAATTTGACCGGAAATGTTTTGCGGTACCCTGCTAGTTTCTAATAATGTAATAAACTGTCTATGCTACATAAATTAAACAAATTGAAAACACCTTTATATTGTTACGTCTCTGTTCGTTTGTTGATTTCCCGTAAACATTCTTTCCGAAGAACTTCAGCGATACAAGTCCTTTCTTAAATAAAACTAGTTTATTATTTCTCACTACAACTTTGCAATACACTTAATTTCCACAGTCACTTTAACTTAAACACACGCTATAATTCACAACGATTCACGCACTTTACTTACGGTCACTACCGCTCGCTTGACTCCATTATCTGTCTCTATATCTGTCTATCTGCAATTATATCTCCGCTTTCTTTGCCTGGCTTATATACTAAAATAGAGGGCGCCTGGAAAAGACTAGAGTTGCCAGGAAAAGTCATGATCCTTCTAGAAACTCATGACGTGTTACCAGAGTCACGTGACTTCCGCTGTCGTAACAATATTTTAGACTTCCCTAAAGTCTTAACTGTAATTAAAAGTTTTTTGTTTTGTTTTTACGTGTGAATATTTCGGTGTACTGAAGAGAAACGTCTATTTTTTTTTACGAAGATTACAATGAGAGAATTACCGTTTTATTTCTAAAACAAGAATAGCTTATGTGAAGCTCTATTTTTGTTATTGTATATGAAACATGAAGTATTCTGAGGGATCAACAATTGACATTCGACTGTTTGTTTGTTTTTGAATTTCGCGCAAAGCCACACGAGGGCTATCTGCGCTAGCCGTCCCTA